TCTGATTTGTTGGAGTGCCATAGCATGCACAATTTGACCACTAAATGTAATTTTATGCAGTCCCATTAAATGCCTAAAACAGCTCTCTCTAAATCTTTTTATAAGCGAGTCATTGAAATGCACCCCAAAATTACACAGGATTGTACTCACCACTCACAAATTATTCACCTGTGCAGAATAGACCTCTGACTTCAGGAAACATAAATCAAATTCAGATACCATTTTATACGTGCAACAGACACTTTTTAATAAGAAAGAGAAGTGATACTTGCTCACAATATTATGAACACATTAAGATACATAATTGATATCTAGTCACAATATTATCAACACATTTTTAACACATTAAGTGTAAGATCCCACATCGACCAACGGAGAGGGGGTTGATGTGCCTTATATGTACACGCCCGCATCCATCTAGCACGAGGCCTTTTGGGAGCTCACTGGCTTCGGAGTCATGGGAACTCCGAAGTTAAGCGAGTTGAGGGCCAGAGCAATCCCAGGATGGGTGACCCACTGGGAAGTTGGTTGTGAGCTCTCAGAAACAAAACCGTGAGGGCCCAAGAGGGGGGGCCCAAAGCGGACAATATCGTGCTACGGCGGAGCCGGTCCTGGGATGTGACATTAAGATACAAAGTTGATACCTACAAACACTATTTTCAACACATTAAGATACATAACTGATACTTACTAACAGTATTTTCAACACATTAAGATACGGAATTGATACCTACTAGCACTATTTTCAACACATTAAGATATAGAATTGATACCTACCAAGACTATTTTCAACACATTAAGATATAGAATTGATACATACTAATATTATTTTCAACACATTAAGATACATAACTAATACCTATCAACTGATGTGGGATCCAATATATATATTTACATAGCATCATCCAAATAGAAACAAGGTATGCAAATGTAGCATAGAAACAGGCTATGGAAATGTTTTCTTGATAAGATGCATTGATCCTTTACTATTTTCAACATATTAAGATACAGAATTGATACCTACTAACACTATTTTCAACACATTAAGATACAAAATTGACACTTATTAACACTATTTTCAACACATTAAGATACATAATTGATACCTACAAACACTATTTTCAACACATTAAGATACATAACTGATACTTACTAACAGTATTTTCAACACATTAAGATACGGAATTGATACCTACTAGCACTATTTTCAACACATTAAGATATAGAATTGATACCTACCAAGACTATTTTCAACACATTAAGATATAGAATTGATACATACTAATATTATTTTCAACACATTAAGATACATAACTAATACCTATCAACTGATGTGGGATCCAATATATATATTTACATAGCATCATCCAAATAGAAACAAGGTATGCAAATGTAGCATAGAAACAGGCTATGGAAATGTTTTCTTGATAAGATGCATTGATCCTTATGCATCCCAAATAATCTCAAATTCACAGTTTAGATCTTCAATTTTCTCTTCTGCATTATACTTCTAATGGTACTTATTAGTTGTTTTCTACAACAACCTAACCTAAAATAAATATTAATTAAAAATTTATTCTGGGAATTACATTTTTACCCTTAAGGGTAAGGGTAAATTGGTAACTTCTAATTTGAAAAGGATTTTGGGGAGTTGAGTTGCGACTTTGCTTAGAGCTCGTCGATACGAGTTCGTGGACAAGCGACACGCTCAATTTCGAGTTATGACGGTTGAATAAGGATCTAAAAACAAAAAGGGCAATTTGGTCTTTAAAAAAAACATTGTTTTAAAACCCAGGAACCCGATTTTGCCCCCCAAAACTCTCACGCGCTTTCTCCCTCTCTCTCCTCCCTCGCGACAAAACCTTAACCCGTCACTGTGCAACTGGCGATCGTTGCCGTCCGGCCAACTCAGGCCTCGAGATTGGTCCCAATTGACTTGCCTCCACCTCCTCCTCTCATCCCACCCTCTATCGTGGCCGCAAAATACGTGGAACGCTGTCGGTATCGAAGGAGAAATCACCCAAAATTGGTCCTCTTCGCTGGCGACAACTCTAGTGACTTTAGGCTGTGCCACCACCTAGAAAATGTAGCTCTCCTCTCCCTTGATCTTTCCCCTAAGGTTTGCGACATCGATTGTCACCGTAGTTGCCGTATCGAGGTTGAGAAATTCCGGCCAAAACCCTTATGGGTTTGTCTTTGATTGACCTTGTTTTGACCACTTTTTGGCCGTGGTCCAAGACTAAAATTTGTCCCCGTAGGTGTGTTGGTTCTGTAGGTATGGGTATTGGCTAGTGATTTGGGGTTTTTCAGATCGCCGAACATTACTCAAGCCACCCACCACTGCCGGTGGGGGTAGCGGCATGTGGGCCACTTGGTGGAGGCTCAGTGAGTTCCAAAACACTTCCCATGTTGTCCTGAGCACGACGGTATGCTCGAATTAGAATTTGGATATTGGTTGACTATCGAACGAATACTTCGCCTATTAGGCGATATTCGGGTTCGATAGGATCGAACTGTCTGATCGGTCTCATTTCTAAATATGTTGTTCCTTGTATCCATAGCTTTGTGTAGGAATTGGTTGATCAGGAACCGGAGGCCCAGATACTTCGATTCAAGGAGTTTAGGGTTGGGTAATCGATAACCATCCGATCGAGGGTAATCCGATCGCTCGATTGAGACCAGACCTTTGGGACTTGTTATTTGAATTGAGTTGGACCTTAGGAACTCTCGGATTGGAAATCAGAGGTTGTGGGGGCCGGGTTGACCAAAAAGGGAAAGTTGACCAAACCGTTGACCTTGGACCTATCGAGACTGTCTTAACAGAAGATACACATTAAATCCCGGGAATTAGGGTTTTCTTTCTAATTTAAAGTTCGTGTTCGAAATACATTTTTTGATATATCTTGATATTTCTTCAATAGGTGCTCATGCTCTGGCTAGCCAGCAGGCAGGACCCCCACAAGGCCATACCAACTTGGACTTTCTATGAGTGAACTTTGTTTTAAATAAACATTGTTTTTAAAGTATGAATTTGCATGCATAAAAAGGTATATTCAAATTTATAATTGTTTTTACTTGGATATGGGAAATATTGGAAATTTATGCATGTTTGCATGCGAGAATTATAAAGTTTTTATTGCATTGAATGGAAGTAATAAGGGATTGAAATATGATATGTGCATACGGTATATTGATGGTGGAATTGATTTGTGTATATGTTTACCATAGTATGGACATCCCCAATTACTGTTACTCTGGATATTTTAGACACACGGTAACTCTTCGAAGGTGTGTCGGGAACCGAGCACCCCTGACAGGGTGTACCGAAGGCCTTGACGGGCTGTCTGCACACGTATGACTCATTTTAGCCCACGTGTATTGATGATTCTACTGTGCGTGTCTGGGGAGCAATAGTCCCCTGGTTGGACTGCTCATTCCCTAGTCACATGAGTATTGAGGATTCTGCAATGTGGTCTAGTAAACAATCCACGTGTTGGATTGTTTTCCCCTGGTACATAGCAATGGATGTACGTGCGTTTATATAAGTATAAAAAGGGATTTATGGGATTAAACAGGTTTTGAAAGGTTTTTTATACATGGCTTTTGGGCAAATGTTTTCAAAAAGGCGGGGTTAGTACATTTGTTATAATTATGTTTTAAACTTTCTTTTCGTCCACTTACATTTTTGGTTTTGCGCCCCCCAAGGCCGTGACTTGAAGAGCTTAGCAATCAAGACTAGAAACTCCCTCTCTGCCCGACCGTCGCCATCGTAGGACTTTCTTTTTGTGACATTTCTTCTATTTTTGACTTGTAAACTAATGAGATCCTTATAATGCTCTGAATATGCCCATGTAGGGTTGGATTTGTGGCCAGAGGCCATTTGTAAATTGTGTGTGTTGGCGCTTGGGTATTATAACTGTGTTTCTTATAGGTGTAAATTTTGGAATTATCCGTTTTTCGGGAGAGACTCTGCCAAAATTTCGGTAGAAGTCTTGACCCTTTTATGCTTTTAAAGTGGGAAAAAGGGTTTAAATTAGTAAATGGGCTTGGCATCCTATGGATGTTGAAAGGGAAGCAGGATTTGACATCGGGTCAGGTCCTATCATTTTCCAAGCCCCATTAAATTACTAAAATGATGCCCTACACTTACACTACTAGATGGGCAAAGCATGATGAACACTTACACTACTAGATGGGCAAAGCAGGATGACAATGAGGGTCAAAGCAAACAGATAAAAGTTCCTGGAATTTTAAGAAAAGACAAGCAAGAAGTAGAATAAGAAAAGTAGCAGCTACAAATCTTGAGGGATCTATGATGCAGATTAACTAGGAAGAAGAAACAACTGTGAATCTACACTTCAACAAATTACCATAAACAATAGAGAGGAAAAAAACCAAATTTTGGAAAAAGGAAAAAATATTTAAAGAGGTGCAAACCTTTATATAGAGTTACTGTGTTTCAACAAATTACTAGAAACTAGAAAACACAACACACAAAGCAACTAAAGCCAATTTATATTTTTGCAAACACAACTAGTATCGAGAAAGAGTAGTCTTACTCAGAGAATCAAAGCCCTAAAATTCTAGACAAAAATTAAACATTAAGTGAATGCAATAGAGAATGCAAACCTTAATATCAAAGAGAGGAATTTGAGAGAAACATACTGATTTTGACCAAATAAAATAGGAGATTATATTGAAAGAGGAGAATCTTTTTGAGATGAACAACAGGGAGTTTGAAAAAAATGATTGTGCGGGATTGGAAAAGGCGCGGCATGACATGTGGGCTAAGGAGAAAGTATAGCATGGGCTAAGGAGAAAGTATAGCATACTCGTTTGTATTGTAAGTTTGCTTTTTTCTCTTCAGTTGTTCAAATGACTTTGGATGGCTGAGATTGATTCTCATTTTAGCGTTCTCACCTAATCCGAGCTATAATATATATGAGCTAATTGAACACAAGCCTCATGTCGGGCTAGCCCATCAGACCCGAGCTTTATTTCCAGGCCTATAGTCATCCACTAACTCGTGAATTTACAACCATTTGAACATTTTTTCAGTGGAGCGGGGAACTAATTTCCCAAAAATCATTCTCGTCTAGTTCTATCAGGCCATTCCAAAAATATCCCAAAAACTTGTGTTTATTTTTCTTCTCCTACCGGGCATCTCTCTTTCTCTCTCTCTCTTGCTCGTTCCAAATTTCTCAGTCCTTTGTGAACTCCACAGAAGAGAAAGAAGGCAAAATAAACCATGATATTTGATCTCATCTGCCTCTTTGTATTTAATAAATGAATGAATTCATAGCTAGAACCACTAGTTGATACTAAATCAGGCAGCAGTTGCAGTGAAGAGCGAAATCAAATGAAATGAAGTGAAAGGGAGCAAAAAGCCCTATACAGACACAGAGGCAGAGCGAGAAATGATGGAGAATGGTTATGATGGGAAATTTGCGGAGAAATTCTCAGGGTTGGCGATTTCGAACGCAGCTGATACTATTCGTTCCTCAAACGCCAACCACAACCACCAAAACGACAGCAGCTTGTTTCAGGTCATGAAAGCCGTGGAAGCTGCGGAAGCCACCATCAAGCAACAAGTCGAAGAGAATCTCCGACTGAGGACTGAACTTCAGCACAAGATTCTTGAGCTCGACAGATATGTAAGTCCCGCTCCACTCATTTTCCATTCATTTCTGCAACAATTTCATTCAATAATCATAATATATGACAATATTCAGAATTGTTGATACACTTTGTTAGGTTGTGAGGTTTGCTTCTCTACTCTCTTATCTTATGAACCGCATTCAACTTTATTTATTTATTTTTTTGTTGGGGGGTTAGTGGGGGTTGTGTTGTAACTCATTTCTTGTATTGGATTACAACCCTAACTTGTTAAAGTGTTGATTGATGCCTCTTCTTCTTCGAAATGGACCGGACTAGTCTTGTATGCCCTCTTCATGTAATTGTTTGTTCTTACTTATTATGGGCAGAAACTAGATGAATCAATGGCCCAAAGGTCGCCTTCAGTTGATCCTTGGTCCGAGGGTCTCCAAACATCTTTTCAAGCGCATCAACCAGTTCCCCATGTGGATGGTCAAGACAATAAAATTAAGAGTGTAGGAAACACTTCTGTAGTTCTCCACCAAGAGAGTCAAAACCCAACTACTGATGCCCCAATACAAAGTCATGCTGAAACTCAATCCAACAATGGCACAATCAATGGAACCATGAAGCTGCCTACAGATAATGCTGGCTCCTCTCACTTGTCTTCGCCATCTACCACATCATTTTCTCCAGGAAGGTATTTCACCTCAAATGCAGACAATGAGGTTCCTTTACTAATCTCATTCTTAAAAGCAGTGTTAGTAAAGTATCTGAACAAATTCAGATGAAATTTTTTTGTTCGTCTTAGGTTTAACACGGTAGGAGAATATGATCCACGGTTCAATTTTTCTGGGCAAGGGCTGATGCCAATGGCTGAATTAAATACTCCTAGCAGCCTCTGGAAACAGGTATTGCATATACATATCCTAGATGTTAGTTTTCTCTTTTTTATTATTTTAAGGTATTTCTCATGGACCAAAATTTGCATTTATTAGGATCTGAGTGTTAAGATTCATGAACATGAAGAAGAGATTATGCAATTACGGAAACATCTTGCTAATTATTCAATAAAGGTAAAATGCTTAAATCATTCACATTGCACTTCCAATCTTCACAATGGCCGCTTATATGCCAATTGTATTCCTTGTTGATTGAAGTGACTAATGACTAGTATGATGATAGGAAGCACAAATACGCAATGAAAAATATGTTCTGGAGAAGCGTATTGCTTATATGCGTCTGGTAGGCAGAATTTCTCTTATATTCCTTATTAAACTTCTACACCCAACCCTTGTCTCTCCATCTCTCCCCTCCGAGTAATCTCTGTATTATTCTGTTTTCTTCATGCTACTAGGCCTTTGATCAGCAGCAACAAGATCTTGTCGATGCTGCATCAAAAGCTCTATCTTATAGACAAGACATTATCGAGGAAAACATACGCCTCACATATGCATTACAGGTGCTTTGCCTTTTCTCCCCCGTTTCTCTTTTACACCGATAATAATGTTATGAAAAAAATGTATAAGTTGTCAGTTGTCTTGTTTCATAACTGAGTTGAAAGAATAATTTTTCGTTTGCTTCTGTCAGGATGCACAGCAAGAGAGATCAACATTTGTTTCATCTTTGCTGCCTCTTCTTGCAGAGTACTCTTTACAGCCACCAGTTCCTGATGCCCAATCAATTGTTAGCAATATCAAGGTCAGCTCAAATGACCTTTAGTTGTGTTATGTCTAGAATAGATATGTGTATGTTTAGAGCCGGTCAGCTTTATTACTCTATCACTTGCTTGAGAGTTTGTGAAATATTACTCTCTTCCTGATTTAACTAGGTCTTTATTCCTATAGCTTGTGGAGAATTTTATTTTAAGCCTTGTTTAGAAAACCAAGGTTAAAAATGTTGGTATTGGTGGATTATATAGGAAGAATTTTGGTATTGAGTATGGAAACAACATAAATTTCCTTTAAAGAAGGAAAATTGTCGATGACACTTCTAGAAACCCTAAAGCAGTTGTAATGGATCATTTAAACGTGTACGCTTGATCTAATAGTATATCCATGAAGAAGTTTGACATGTAAGATGAAAGCAATGTGCACCGCTGACACATGACTTTGAATGTTAAAATATAATGTGCAAAAGTATCTTTTTCCATTTTTTTTAAAAATTGCATACCTTGATGGTATGTGGTAAAATTTATATACAAAAAAGAGTACGTTAAACAGGGGAGGACGTTATGAGTATTATCCTCAAGGAAAACTAATTCAACGAGGAAGAAATAAAAACAATTTGCATTAATGGAATACAAGATATATGCCTATGTATGGGCTGGAATCGGGTAAGGCGGTCGAAATATGAATATGAAGAAATAGGTGTGCCTAGATACTTTATTCTATGGACAAAGGATCCAATTGGCTTATTGACTGGGAGGTGGCTTAGAATAGCCAAGAAGTGTGGGAATTAGAAACTTCACAAATGGCTGTGGAGGTTCCCACTTGAAAATGAATCCATATGGCTGTGATTCAAAACAACTATGGGCTTAAGGTAAAAGGGTGGAATTCTAAGACAGTTGTGAGAGGTTCAAGTTGCAGTCTGTGGAAAGATGTTTCCCACAGGCATTCTCCATTATTGAGTTGCTGTCAGTTTGTTGTGAGAAATGGGATATAATTAAGTTTTGGGAACATGTTTGAGTGGGCGAATTTTTTCTAAACATTCTGTTTCCCAGGCTTTACAAACTTTCCAGTATCCGTAATAGAGTTATTCCTAGCATTGCTGACTAACTTTTGTGGAACTGGATTTTGGTTTTAGGAGGAACTTGAGTGAGGCTGAGATGGCATAACTATCTTCTTTGTTGTCTTTACTTCAAAAATGTTCGTGTCCACTCCTCAAGGGTTGATTCAAGAAAGTGGTGCCTAGAAATCACAGGGAGTTACAGCAAGTCTGGTTACCTGTTAACTAAGTAATTTAGGTATGGAGTCGTTGTTCCATCCCTAGGGTATGAATTGGAAAGCTACAGGTCCCACCAAGGTGAAGACGCTGTCATGGTTAGTGGCTCACCATAAGATGAATATTTGTGATATGGTTCAAAGGAGGAGACTAATTACTTGCTTACCATTCTCTTCGGGTGGTTTGGCTGGAGAGATAGGGTCTTCTAAGATTATGTGGTGTGGGGATTGAGGAGTCATGGTAACAAGTTCAGGTTTTGTCAGCGCTTTGGTCATCTGTCACCAGAGTTTAAGGGTTTATTCTCAAATATTTGGCTAGATTGGCAAGCTGCTGTTGTTAGTTGCTGTCTTTGGGAGGGTCCTTTTGTTTTAGTTGAGCTTGTTATTTTCTTTTAGTCTGGCTTTTCTCAAGTGGTCCTCTTCTCCACTACTCTTGTACTTTGTAATTATATTGTTTGCTGGCAATAAATTGTCTCTTTTATATAAGAAATGTTATGTATTTACGGGTCAGGTTCACCAGTCCTATTTTCTGACACAAATTTTAAACCATTAGACTAAAACTCTTCCGAAGTTAAGATTCTTTGTTACATGGATTATTTCTTTCAAAAATTAATAGTTAATTTTTGTAATCTCTTTCCAAACCCAAAAAAAAAGTAACTCTTCGTTTCACTACTCAACCCTTCTCTCTCTCTCTCTCTCTCTCTCTCTCTCTCTCTCAAAACAACAATTAAAATGTCAAAATTGGCAGAGTATAACTCTGAGATCGTCTTTGGTCCCTTTTGGCAATGGTGGTGCCCACTTGGGTGGAACCATGTAATGCCTTTGGGTGGGGATTACAGCATAGTGGGTAATGAACCATACATGTAGTTCCTAATGTACAGGAAGCATAGCTTAGCTTGCCAGACAAAAGCCTTTCTATTGTCCATGTTGTGTAGTACCATTACAAATTTCAGAAAGAAAAAAAAACAATTGTTGTTTCTTTCCTGTTAGAATCTTTGCATGTACCTTTTTTCTTCTTTTCAAATTTTCCTTCCATACCAAAAACTAAGTCCATTTTGTGCTTCTGACAGAAGTTGCTTACTTATCAGTTCATTTTTGGTCTTCCGCCACTCCCTCCCACCAAATCCTGTGGGCATAGCTCAATTACTTGTAAACCACATAAATCATTGTGCCTTTTGTGTGCGAATTTTCTTGTGGGTTTTGTATTCTTTTCCTATCGTGTCTTACTTGTGTATGACGAATAGGCTTATATTCCTAACATTTCCTAAATTGACTCAATACAATGCCAACTTAGATGAGTCACTCCGATCTTAGGTAAAGTTGGCTTGGATTTAAATGACGGTTATGTTTATTTGGGATTTCCCTAAGCATTTGGAAGGTGGAGTGGTTCTTTGCTTGATTTGGCATTGCTTACCCCTTGATCCTAGCCTTATTACAAATCCAAGGATTCTCTTGTATTGTTTAGGGTCAGTAATAATACTCAAAGATACACGATAACCCATGGATTTGTAAGAAAAGGCTCAAATTAAAAGTCAAGCAATACCAAGACTAGCAGAGGAGCTAAATCCCTGAAAGGTATACCATGCTCAGTTTTTTATTTCTATTTAAAAATCTTTTCATGGTGACAATTGCTGTTTCCCCTGATTTGCTCATCTTAATTTCTGTAAATTCCTATGAAGGTTCTTGTTCTCTTGGTATTCCCCTTTAGCAACCATTCTGTTTAAAACTTTTTAAGTGTTTGTAATTCTTTTCTCTTTTCCATCACTAGCAGCAGCATAGTGTACAGTTCTACTAGAAGTTGTCCAACCTAGGAGATTGAATTATGTTTAGAGAAGATATCTGTCAATGTTTTGTGTGCTAGACTAAGACTTCTCATGAAATGAAGTTGCTTTATAGTCCCTGCATCTTCTGCTTTCTTGCAGGTTCTATTTAAACATTTGCAAGAAAAGCTCCTTCTTACTGAGGTATGTAATGCAAACTTCAGATTGCTAAAAACCTCACCTGATCTGGCAAATTTTTTTAAGTTAACCTCCACTTATATTGCTTTGAGATGTCTTTGAGCAGCACATAATTTTTTCACCAGAATTGAATTATTTGATTACATCCTTTCCTTGATAACAGACAAAATTAAAGGAGTCACAGTACCAATTAGGACCTTGGCGCTCAGATTCAATTCACTCTAACATTGCCCCACAGTCACCGTCTCACTCCATTGGTGCAGCGTTGGCTACTTCAGTATGTTTATTTCTCTAGTTCTTCCTCTTAATATCCTGTAAAAGATTTTCATGTCTGTTGTGCTTTTTATCAGAACAAAAATGGGCTAGAACTGGTTCCTCAGCCAATATATTCCCATGAAACAGTACCAGTTTCTACTTCTGATGCTCAGACAACCACAGAGTGGGATCTATTGGGTCGCCATCAGAGTGGTTTGGGTGGTGTTGTCACAAATAACCTGAAAGCCAATGGCCTGGGGAGGTATTCACCTATAGAAAGCAGGTGAGCCTGGTCAAATGGAGACTGCTTCTTACAACCATCTGAATTTGTTGGTGGGTTCTGATTTCTTTGGATTTGAATGTTGAATGGTCATCCATGGATATAATTGACCAAAATGCTACTGAGTTAGAGTGAATCACAAAGCATCTTTTTTTGAAATCATAATTTACCCTTGTTCACCAATGCTCATAGGACTTTAGTTTGTCTATTGGTTTGGTCCTTATTGGTGCCAGTTGTTACAATATCCATTTTTTCACTTTGAAACTGTTGTGCCTAAGTGCCTATATAGATATATATATATTTATTTATTTCTATTGAAACTAGTGTGCTCTTGTTATAACAGTTCTTTCTAAACTATAAACAATTTGGAATTTATGAATCATGACCACAAGTGATCTGAAGAATGAAGAAGCTTATAACAAACTTTCTAGTTGGTGAAAGAGATGTGAGGAGGGCGAAGTTAGTGAAGCTCATTTACTGTTTTTGGCTTGTTAGAGAACCACTAACTTCATGAGTGCTAGAGGTTTTGAACTCAGGACCTCATGGAATCAGAGCTTTGATATCATATTAGATAATCACATACCAGTAGTCCCTGAATGCTTTAGATGTTAGGGACAATATACGTCAAGCTAACAGATATATATTGCTACATTTATACCCAGTTCATGTCCAGCAATAAATGATTGATAAGTCATGCCGTCAATCAACAGACAATGGATTTTAATTTTTAATTTTTCCATAAGCCATTGGATATTTAAAGTGTAAATGAGTAACAAGGCCATTTAACGCTTCAACTTCAACTTCAACAGCCCATTTATGAAGTTACAGGGCCAACCAGCAGCATAAATTTCATATCTGTTCCGAATAGCGTATTTTTCAAAAGACAAAAAACATGCCATAAATCTCAAATTTAATATGATTGGATGCTTTAGGATTTTCTTACATAATTTGTCTTCACAGATTCAGACCAAATTTATTTCCATTACATGAGTTTAAAGTTTTGTACTCATTATTTACAGATTGTTAGTGGTAATCAGGAAGCCAGGGAATATATATGTATTTATATGAATTTGTATGCAGTCTCTTGCTCAAGTGTTTCAGTTGTTTACTAGGACTTCTGCAGCCCAAGATCTACCTACTCAACTTGCTGTTACTCAGGGTGATGCACAAGTAACTCGTTACAGTGAAGAAACCACCAATAAACAGGTCACATTTCGTGATCCTGTCAGGAACTCAGAGAGTGATTATCAAGATCCAGAAGGAAACCACAATGAGAGAGAAACGTCGGCCAATTGGAATTCAGGAAACGCTCCTTACACAACAGCGCTTGATGATCCCAGCTCCTCGTATGCCCATTATCTACCACCAGTGCTTGAAGAACCTTCTTCTTCATTTTCAGAGGGTCATTATCTATTTTGCACTTTGTTTATTGGTCTTATTATTGAGTCTTGTCACTTTAAAAATCTGGTATATTGCAATATGCAGCTGCAGATGATGACCCATTACCAGCTATAGATGGCCTACAAATTTCAGGCGAAGCTTTTCCTGGACGGGAACTTCAAGCATGTGGATACTCTATTAATGGAACAACCAGTTGCAATTTTGAGGTGTGATTTTGAATATAACTTTTCTGCAGCCCCCTCCAACACCCACTAACACATGTAAAACCTAATCATTTTGAGACTTTTTGTTAGAGACACATACAAATTTGTAATCTTATATTTTTTTTACTTCACTTCCAGTGGGTACGCCATCGGGAAGATGGATCTGTTAATTACATTGATGGTACTGATCTTTTCCTTTTATGTTTGATGTTGGATTTTTTTATTTTTTATTTTTGCATCCTTTTATCATGTCAATTCTGAGTCTTGCCGAGTTTCTGAAAATAGGAGCAAAGCAACCAAACTATCTTGTTACTGCTGATGATGTTGAGACATACCTTGCTATTGAAGTCCAACCTCTGGATAACAGGAAGCGAAAGGTACTTTCTCAATTGTAGTTACATGTGTGGCTGACTTATTTTGTCTCAATATTGATTTCTCTCTCTCTCTCTCTCTCTCTCTCTCTCTCTCTCTCTCTTCTCTCTCTCTCTTTTCGGGGGATGGGGGCAAGGTTTTCCGAATGTTCAGTACAAGTGAGGCTTGAACGCAATGAAATGCATGAGTTGTCTAATTAGTTTGATGTTCAAACTTTGTGCATATACAGTAATTGGCTATAACTTATAAGGTATCTTTCCAGAATGATATTTTTTAATAGGCACCTTAGATGTGCCAAACATTTCGGAAAGCTCAGAGAGTAATTTCTACACATGGTTGGTCAGTAATTCTTCCTTGGTCTTCTGCATTTCAGATGTCAAATATTTAGGAAAACAGTGTTAGTATGTGGGAGGCCCAACTCTAATACAGGAATTCATGCTAGCATTGTGTGGTAGCTACCATTATCTGTAGCTAAAATAATATACAAATGCTAATTCATTGTTGTTGCTACTAACCATGGCTCTACTTGTTATAAGATCCGATATATCTATAAGAAAATGAATAGTAAGTTCTAAGTTGAGTTTCTTGTAGTGCAAAACCAGTCGCTTTTAAATGAGATGAGTGCAATCCCTAGATGGATTTTCTGTTTTCTTTTTTTAAAGATCTTTTTTAATTACCTAAGGTCCTAAGACAATCCTTTAATTATAGGAGATGGAATTTTCGGGATACATTTTAACCCTCTCATAGAATTTGTACTGGCATTCACATGTGCCAGCTTGCCGCAAAAAAATTTGCACACAGCATAGGGGTGGGGTGTGGGGAGTTTCGAGGCCCCTTCTTTTAATTGAAGGAGGTAACCCACCATTTGGGCTGCACCGCATTTTGTATATGAAGTTATCTCCACATAGGATAGGAGATATGAACTCAACCCACCCCTGCAGTGCAGTTGATTGTATACCATGTTAAACCCATGGGTAGAACTCATCCCTGAAAGCAAAACTTACAAGGAAAGGGTGCCCGTGTGTTTATATACTGCACCTCCTCCCAAGTGAAGGGCGTTCCGGGTCACCAATTCTCTTTAAGAGAAATCTTCGTGATAGAGAGTTTGATATGTTTTTCTGAATTATTTTCTTGTATTAGTAACCTCACTGTGCATCCTTCCTGTGCTTATGAGAGAGTTGTTCCAGGTCGTTTCTTGTAAATCCTGTTCTATGTCTTTCTTGATAACCAAAACCATCCTACACTTGGTCCCTAGTTCATTTTCAAAGTCCAGTTACTTGTTTGGGTGATGGCCCATGGCAAATTCCATACCTGTGAGATTCAACAGAGGCAGCCTACACTTCATTGTCTCCTCTTTGGTGTGTTCTGGGAAAAAAATGCTGGCAAATCTTCTTTCACGTCTCAAATTTTGAATAGTTTAATCTTGGTTTTTTGTTTGGATTGGGTGGTTCTGAGCGCTCCCATCTTTTTCAGTTGTGTCTGGGTGTTAATCTTGTTTGTACGTTAATTTCTTCTTCTTCTTGTTTTTTTTTTTCTTGTTTCCTTTTGGATAGAAAACTTAATGCTTATATTGATTAAGAAGGGAAGTACAATCACAAAATCTAATCCTTGTTTGTTCATTAACTTGGTTTTTTTTGTTTTTTTTGTAGGGAGAGCTTGTGAAGGTTTTTGCCAATGAGCACAAAAAGATAACTTGCGGTAAGTAAGATGACTGAGGTATTTTGTAAATATCAAGCCATTCAAATTCCATGGATGTCACTATTCTTTTCTCTTTATTCACAGATCCTGAAATGCAAAGTCACATAGAGAAGATTGTTGGTAGTGGTCATGCTTCATTTAAAATTTATCTGTCGGTATGTTTGTACATGAAAAATCCCCACATTTGTACTTAGTGTACTTAATATTCATTTTGTAAGTGTTTAAAGATATATTATTGTTTCTTCTATTGAAAGTACCTTTTCATTTTACAGACTGGATATCTTGATATATGGGAACCGGCTACGTTGGCTATTAAGAGGGAAGCTTATAGTATTAAGTGTAGTGAAACTAGTGGTGTTGTACTTACAGAAAAGTTTTCGCCAACAACACTTGTACGATTTCTTACTTATTAACCTTTTTGTTATTCTGCACGGATTGGTGAGGCTTGGCCAGCTTAAATTGCAGTAGTTTTGGAAATGAATAGATGTTATAAACGTTGTAGGAATGTGAGTAAACAGTGCTGAATTGATTGATAGACTTGCTTTTCATTTTTTACTTATTTATTTATTCCATGATTAAGTAAGCTTAAGTGTAGTTCTAGCTTTGCTCAATTGAATGTAGCATATAAAGGTTTTTCCAGATTTGTGCTTTGTTAGAAGCCCAATTAAAACCTGGATGAAGTCAACATGACTTGTGTCCCTAATTGTAAATGTGAAACTGCGGTACTACTCGCTTTATTACTATTGTCTGGCAAGAAGTGAATATACCTACATTGGTTTATATATGATTCTAGTTCTTTGAGAAAATCTGAAATGCTTCCTTTAAAGTGCATGAGTGGTTTAGATTTCACACTTCAGGTTATTATTCTTATTCAGTGTTTATAGGCTTCTTGCTTAGCATTGGTCCATTGGATCATAGATTGAATAAGGTATTGGAATATGTTGAAACTCTTCTGATGCTTTTATAAGGGGGAGTCAAATTTTGTATTTGTTTTAGAGCTAATAATGTTTCTGACCCAGTAAGTACTAGTATTTTTAGATCTATGTTTCTTCATGATTATGTTGTATGTAGTTCCTGTCTTATTTGACTTCTTTTCTTATTTGTCAGGTAACAATTCCATATGGAAGTCCTACAGAACTCATAATATCTAATCCTGGTGGGGGTGAGCATATTTTAAAAGCAGATGATAGCTCGACCGATATTAGCTGGTAAGCAAAAAATGTTTCCATATAAACAGAAAAGAAACAGGAAAAGAAAAAAGTCCGAAATTTTTGTTTTGTGTGAACATAAACATTTGAAACATTTTAATGCACTCCTTTGAAACAACCAGCTCAGGATATACCAATCATGGACTCTTATTTAGTGTTTGGTAGTTATGCGTACAAATTATATGTTGGATATATATATTTTTTTCTTATCGTGTTTTAGTGTTTGGTAGTTATGCGTACAAATTATATGTTGGATATATATTTTTTTTTCTTATCGTGTTTGACTGGCTCCTCAGTACTGGGAGTTATTTGCATATAAAACCCACTCTCTACAGCCAACTGGAAAATGAATAGCTAGTTTATTTTAATCAAGTAGACAATTGCAACTACCAAAATGATTTTATCTTCTTTTTTTCCTAGTACGTCTACATGCATTGTTAGCTTATTATTCTCCACAAGAAAACTTATGCTTCAAGTGGTTTAATCTAATTGTATAAGTAATTTGAAGAGCTGAATTATGGAATATTGAAAGGGAAAAAGGAATGTGAAAGAGTTAATCATGCATCAAGTAATTAAGATGCAATTTTCTTTTTATAAGAATGTGAATCTTTATAAATAAAAAATAAATAAAACAGTATAACAGATCTTACCAAGGAGCCCACTTCAAAAAGAAAACTAAACGTGCAAACTGCATTACCACTTCAATCCTAGGGAAAACACCAAAACAAAAAGATAATTCCAAAGAGCTACAAAGCAGATGATTTCCAATCTTACAAATGATAGAAAAAGATAACTCCCTAGAAGTTAGAACCATACTTGTGATTACAGCATAGCAAAGGGAATTTTCTTTGGGTTGTTGAGACACGACTTCCCAACATGGTTGGACAATGATCCAAAGTCAATCTAGTAAGTAAGTGCAGCTTGCCTTGCATGAGTAGAGAGCTCCTTCCAATCCAAAGTAAATAGACCAAGTAAAACCTGCATTATGAAGTTCATTATCCCTCAAATTTGTTTGTTTATAAAATCATTAAATGCCCTCATGCTTCTTGTCACCCTACCACCATTTGACATTTTGGAAGCAAACCTAGCAATATTAAAATCTCCGCCTATACTATGCACCATCTTGATCCACAGCCCAGATAAAGGCGCCAACTCCTCCCAAGAAAATCTCCTCCATCTAGATTTGTTTGACTCGTAAACCTGTCAGCCACCAATCTCTTCCACAATTTTAATCGAACAAGAAAACTCTCCCACAACAGATTCCTGACCGCAACCACCTTAGTGTTCCACTAATCAATATCCCCCCTGACCTGCTTCCACAAGATGCCACAAACACCCAATCCTTATGCCTTCCCCCCAAATACTACTCACTATCTTATCAATTACCACCCTTTAGTCTTTTGCAAAATTACTAAATCTGCACCACAGTTGAGAAGTACTCCTTTTATTACTCTTCACTTGGTCGCATACCCCAAACCCCTAACGTTCCAGCTAACAATCTTCATTGGACTTTCTCACTTTCCCCCACCTTCTAACAATCTTCATTGGACTTTCTCACTTTCCCCCACCTTCTAACAATCTTCATTGGACTTTCTCACTTTCCCCCACCTTCTAACAATCTTCATTGGACTTTCTCACTTTCCCCCACCTTCTAACAATCTTCATTGGACTTTCTCACTTTCCCCCACCTTCTAACAATCTTCATTGGACTTTCTCACTTTCCCCCACCTTCTAACAATCTTCATTGGACTTTCTCACTTTCCCCCACCTTCTAACAATCTTCATTGGACTTTCTCACTTTCCCCCACCTTCTAACAATCTTCATTGGACTTTCTCACTTTCCCCCACCTTCTAACAATCTTCATTGGACTTTCTCACTTTCCCCCACCTTCTAACAATCTTCATTGGACTTTCTCACTTTCCCCCACCTTCTAACAATCTTCATTGGACTTTCTCACTTTCCCCCACCTTCTAACAATCTTCATTGGACTTTCTCACTTTCCCCCACCTTCTTACCTACCCTTTTCTCATAAGTAATTTCAAATTTCGGATTCTTCAACTCCCTTTATCCTTTAATATTTTTTGAAACTTTATCTTGCTCGCTCTATTTCTCCTTCTCTTTTAGTGGAGTGGAACCACCGCCTGATTCAAACTAGTCAGAACATCCCCCAAATTCTCCACCATCACCTCTGACTCCTTTTCCTATTTCCGAAATCCCATCTGAACCCCTCTTCTATTCCAAGAACTCCACTGGAGACTTTAAATTCCCTCCAACGGAGTAATCTTTGGTAGATTGATGTTGCTCTATAGGAAGTGGCTGTGATCCCAAAATCTAAGAATCTGCATTTCTTTGCACCTTGGACAGACTCTTTCCTGGGCTTAGATTAAAAGATTTCAACAAGGATGCTGAACTAGACAAATCCCCTCCCTCAGCACGAGGTAAATACCCACTTTCTTTCTTTCCACAAGAGCCCTCCAGTGCAACCACAAAACCTTGGTGGTTGGTTAGACAAGAGTCATAGTGAGAAACTACCTGTTCTGACTCTTTAGGCGCACCCTCTTCTAGACTGAAGGAATCCCCTAGGCTGAGCTTGAATCCTTCGTCTTCCAGTGGCTCTTAATATTATTCATGTTCTTTGTCCAAATCCTCTTCCAGCATATCTGAGCCCTCAAAAGGTCCCCTAGTAGTGACCCATCTTCATCAAAACCACCATCTAATCCTTGTTTATCTAACTCTTGTGAAAACAGTTCCAAGAGTTTCTGTTTCTCACTTGCCTGCAAATCCTCTAAATCTTTTCCTTCCAGGGTTCTCTCCTCCCCTACGCCAATCCCTTTTGAATCTGAAGCCCCTCTGAAGCAGCAATACCGTTTTTTTTAGATACGATACTGCAATTCTCTATTCCTCTTCGGTTAGAGCCCAAATCAAAATAACCCAAACCCATGCCCACGCTGCTGCCATCGTCTTCCACGTCAACTTCTGTATCACGAAGAACTGGAGTGTCTTTGAGTTGCAAGGGCTTTTGATTTCTTTACTAAATCTTATCTGCATGTCTCTTGATTAGACTACTTATTTGTTCATGCATATATCATTATGGAAAAGCCTTTTCATATAATTCAAATTTTTATGCAAGAATTTTTTTTTGTTTTTTTGTTTTTTTTGTTTCTTATTTATTGAACATCAACATCACTAGTTATAGGTTCTGTCCCAGATTTCAGTTAATCCAATGTATCAAAGAATGTAACTGATCCCGAGTAGTACATATGATTTAGTTCTACTGTCATTGTACTAGTTCTGCTGGTAAGATAGTTATATTTGCCATGCACTGCCAATTCTTAGTTGTAGATGCCATGGTTCTAACTTTTATATCTTTATTTCTTATAAGGCTACTTTGTATGTCTTTGTTTAGCAAAATATTGGTTCCAAACGATTTGATGTGATTATATTTGGAAGGTTTTATTCATTCTATGTTGTTTAAGTGTTTTGTTTCTTTCCTCTCCTGATATATCTCTTTTTATTTTTTCTTCTCCTTTTTGCAGTTCTAGAGATACAATTGTGCTCACGTTGAGACTATTTATCCTAAGGGTATAACACTTTAATCTCTGGCCATAATCTCTCTTAGTTTGTATAACATGGAACTATGATCTTTGAAGGTTTTGTTTGGGCATCTAATTTTGTCATACGTACTTATAGGGACCAGACTTAGAGCAAGTATTTACATATATGTTTACAGGAGAAAATCTAGTGTGAGACTTGTAATATGTGGAGGACATGACATTGAACAGTAGCTTGTTAGATACCACCGGCCCTAAAAGCTTGAGCTGTTAAGTAGTGGACCAACAATGTATATCAAGCATAGGAGGCACATTATCAAGAAAGATTGAGATAATAGAGCAAGTATTTACATATATGTTTACAGGAGAAAATCTAGTGTGAGACTAGAAAAGTGTAATATGTGGAGGACATGACATTGAACAGTAGCTTGTTAGATACCAATGGCCCTAAAAGCTTGAGCTGTTAAGTAGTGGACCAACAATGTATATCAAGCATAGGAGGCACATTATCAAGAAAGATTGAGATACCAGAAAGGCTAAAGAAGAGGTGAATTAAAACTTAGTAGCGAAAACATGTAGCTGCACACAAGTAGTGATATTCCTGAAACTTTACTACGTTATCTTTCCTGACTCTCTTATCTCTTAGTATACTTTTATATTTAATCAAATGAGTCCAGCTCATTTTCAAAATTTTGAGTCAATAGCACAAAATGCCGGTGAGCTTGAGGTGGATGTGGAGAAGTGCAACTCGAGTTTTGTTTGATAGAATAGAAGGATAACTTTAAAGTTAAATGGCTAAAATTGTATATGACTGTTATAGGCACCTCACCCAAACCTCCCACGGCCTCTTTTTTTGTCATCCCACCCATGTACTCTATCCATCTTCGGCCCCCACCTCACATCCTCCCAACCTCTGAGTAGCCCCTTTTCTTCTTCTCTTCTTCTATGTTCCCTTTCCTCCCAACAGTAGCCCCACACCTCCTACTCTGTTCTCTGATGTAATTGTGATCTCCCAGCCTCTATACTTATTCTCTTCTCTGTTGTTATGCGCTTTCCATTATGTGGAATGCTAATGCATTTCAGTTTTGAGCTGTCCAGCTAATTTTGAACCTCCATAATGTCTCAATGATTGCGCAAATGCTAATATAATATAATATAATATTTTTATTTGTAATAATTCGAGTCCCGAAAGTCTTATGTGGCTCACCTTGGTAGACAAAATAAAACACTTGGTGCCTACTCCTCGCCTTTGAAAACACTGGAAGCGAGTAAATTTAGAGGGAAAGCTTCTGTAAACACATCTAAGAATGTAGGAAGAGTGGTGTTTGACCCTACAAGTCTTATGTAGATATAGATGAAAAGCTAATGTAGATAAGGGCATTATGTAGCAGAAGGAAAATTGCAGTGAGGCCAAATGTGGACGGACTAGGATTTAGCATAATTGGAGTATATAGTGGTAGAAACAAGCTTTTCAGAGACAATTTCAAATTCTTTGAGTCTTGATTAACTTATCAGTTGTGTGCCAGAAGAAGCCGATTTTTTATTTTTAAAAATTGTATATGTATTACTTAAGGCTATAATGTACTACAAATATATGGTGATATCCCTTCTTCTTTGTCTTTGAACCAAAGTGAGAATTGCACATCCCTATTCATCTCATTTTTTCCTCACACTGTTTTTTCAAGAATATAATTTGAATTGCTTCTGCCTTTTATTTTTCTTTCTGTTTGGTACACAAGATCACATAGACCTTGGAGACTCGAATCGAAGCATTTAGTGAGGGAGACGAGCACAATCATAATGCACTTAGCAGGTGGTGCTTCCTCTCCCTCCTTAATAGCTCACTAGACTTCCTGTTGTCTTGTTCACAATATTGTTTAGGCACTTTGATGTCTTTTCTTTCCTCGGACTTGTCTTCTGGTCAGTCAACCAAGTTTGAAACACACCTTCATTTTGCATGGTTGTAATCCTTCTTCGATCTTTTGTATCCTACAAGTTTTATTTTTCATGTCTTTGGGGATCCAAATCTCTCCATGTTTAGTGAACTTCTATTAACTGAAACAGAAAGAACCATGTGAAATGAAAGAAGAGGATTAACCTACTTGATACTAGCCTGATTCAAACTACAGAAGTAAACCCACATCCTTGTGGGGGAAAATAAATAGTTTTAACATACTTTTTATTCCCCCAAAAAAAATGATAATAATTTAATCTTTGAATAAGTAAAATTGTAATCATATGGCCTTAGAAGGGTTTGAGATATTTGGTATTTAGTTTTGATTACAACACTTTCGGATTTCATTTTTAGCTAGAGAAAATAAGTGAAAATTAGTCTCTTTTGTATTGAGTTATCTATAGAAATTGAAGGAAAATAAAAGGGAAAACAAGGTTAGTTTAGTGACTTGGTTCTTTTAATTTCGATTTAGCGTCACACATTAAGCTTTTCTTAACTTTTATATGAATCTGATGCAGGGCAGCGGCTATAAGCTGCTGTCCAGCGACCCAAACATACCCAAAATACAGAAAATAGAAGGATAAAGCAGTCGAATCGAAGTTGGAACGAAGATAATTGAGTTCTAGGGCAAAATCCCAAGATAATTGGAATTATATTCGTCAACAAAAACTCAAAACAAGAGTCTCTAAATAGCCTATTTATACTAGAATACACCAGCCAAGCATTCTTATTCCTAGTTTAATAAGAAACCCTAATTGATAAAGGAAATTAAAACAAAAACAGGAAATTGAACTAAATCCTAGTAAGAATAGGAAAACAAATAATAAAATAACCTATTAATTTAATATAACTAAAACTTAGCCTTATTGGCTGATGAGCCTACTTAGTTTAGGAAGTCTAATAGATGCTCCTGCATCAGAATCATATACGTGCCAATGTTTGGAATTCATTTAATTCATTGTACGTATTTTTGTTGAGCACATTAAATCTTCCTTGGCATCAGATTTCACCCATCTCTTGGTTCCTGCAGGCTGGTGAGAGAAGGAAAGGTAAAAAAAGGTTGTTTTTTTGAGTAGGGCAATTATCTCCTGCTGTTGGGATCCACAAGAGCTTGTGTTCTTAAGGGTAAGGTTGTCAATTACATATTTGGGTGTTGGTTGTGCTGTTGAACTTCCTGCTATTCAATATTTGTTAGAGCAGCAATGAATTTTGTGTTGTAATTTATTGTATGAAACGATCAATGTTGTTCTTTTTAGATTTATACTGCTTTTATTTTTTCTTTCTGTTTAACTCCACCATCTCTATCTTATACGCACTGTCCAAAAACGTATAATCGTTTAGGGGTTAGGATCTGGGGACAGCTTTTTACAAATAATTTTACACTCCTTTTTAGTTTCTAGATCCATTTACATCTAAAGGGTCCAAAGGAAAAGTTAAGATTTCTTTTCACTTGTTTTACTTGTTATTTTCTACACAACTAATAGGATGTCCATGAAGATGTGGCAAAATCATGTGACGTAAGTGGTTGCGTTGAGTCTTTAGATGTCAGGTCAGGTTCATACGGGTTGACACGACACGACACAACACAACAATAACATAAATATTGAGGGTGGAACTTTGGGAAATATGCTTAGGTTTTTTTTCTTTATTATGTACAGAGTTTGATGCAGAATGCATAATGCATTTGATTAGTTTTCCCAATGCTATTCGGATTAGTTATTATTACTTTTCCTGTCATAAATTAAAGAATATCGTCCTAAGATGTTTGAGATGTTCCTTACAAAAGTGGTTGTATATAAGTATGTCATCAAAATAAACCACCAGAAATTTACCAATGTAAGGTCGTAACCCTTGAGTCATCACCCTCATAAATGTGCTAGGTGCATTGGACATTCCAAAAGGCGTAACAAGCCATTCATATAAACCATTAGGGGTTTTAAATGCGGTTTTCCATTTATCTCCTTCACGAATGCGGATTTGATGGTAGCCACTGAGAAGATCTATCTTAGAAAACCATTGGGAACTAGCCAAATTATCCAACATATCCTTAAGTCACGGTATGGGAAAATGATACTTAACTGTAATTTTATTTACGATGCGACTATCAACACATATTTGTCAGGAGCCATCTTTTTGGGGGTAAGGAGAATCTGAATAGCACGAGGACTTGTACTAAGACAAATAAAGTCCTTTATCCAGAAGCCCTTGAATTTGTCGATTAAACTCTACTCACTTAGGCATATTCATACGATAATGGGGAAGATTAGGAATTTGCAAACCAGGGACAAGGTCAATAGCATGCTGAATCTCTCTCGTAGGAGGTAGTTCATCCGGTAAGTTATCAAGTATGGCATCAGAGAATTCAGTGAGGAGCTATTGTATGGGTTTGGCAAGTGGAGTGGGGGTGTCATCAGATGCCGGCTTAAGCAGGTTTTCCTAATTCTATTTGGATTAGTTATTAATTCAGTTAAGGATTCCTTGTTGTTGAAGGATCTCTTATTAGTTACTATGCTTTCCTATTTCTCAAAGTCTACTTTTCCTTTTCCTCAGAGTAAAAAGGGTTGTACCTCTATAAATAGAGCAGTTTGTAATCTTTTAAGGCAGACTTGATTAATGATAAATTTCCATGCTTTAAACTCTCTAATTCCTTCCCTTTCCCTTTGTCTCTTTGATCTTTAATTCTTCTCTTCGACCTCTTATATTCTTCTCTGTTCTATTGTTTAAGTGCTAAATCTAATACCCACGGGTTGTACTACATCAGAGTTTGGTAAATTTTTTGGGCATTTGTTATGTAATGTGTTTGACATAAGTTTTTATGGAATTATAAGATGTTTTCTTCATGGGCGAAGCATGATAAATTAACGGGTAAGATTTGGGTTTAAGATAATGTTACACAACATGACCTGAACACGTGGAAATACAATATATTAAAAAGTCTAAATGCATGGATGAATACTATTAACCATTTGAGCTACGAGTTCCTTTCCCTCTCTTTAAATTACTACATGATGTGGCAAATAAATTAAATAGAACAAAATTGCAATCAATTGAAATCCTTTAAGATAAGAAAAGAACTCTTCCTTTCCCTCTCTTTAAATTACTACATGATGCGGCAAATAAATTAAATAGAACAAAATTGCAATCAATTGAAATTCTTTAAGATAAGAAAAGAACTCTTCCATCGGAAGAAATAAGGTTAATGGCCATTATACCCCCTCAATTTTAATGGTATTCGAACTCAACACACTCGTTTATCTTTCTTAGTTAGTTTAGCAATTATATTAAAATGGTCAATGTAACACCTACGGTTAGGGGTTTTTTTTTTTTTTTTTTCTTCTCCAAATTTCATTAAATTTTCCATTCAAAATGTCACGTGAAAAAAACATGTAACCGTTGAAGGAAGTTGAGGTTTCACCTCAAAATCAATTGGCAATGAGGGGAGTTACCCAACTTTTTATAAACCTAGGTTAGATCCCTTAACTTTTTTCGACTCAATTTAGTTTAGTTCACCAATTCAAATGCCACCCCTAATCTCGGCGCTTGTCAATTGCTTCACTGGAATGGTTGACATGGTAGGTGTGGATTTGTTAGTGTGAAGATCGTCATCATGTTGAGACAAGTTTTGTGCCTCATATGGGTGGGCATTTGAGCCTGTGAATTGGTGGTGAACCTAGTCCAAAAAAAGGGGGGGAAACTGTGTTGAACCAAAAAATCAACCTCTGCTCAAAAATCGAACTAGGTCGATTTGGATTGATTCCCATTTTGGTTTTTGTCTTGAAAATACTGGGCACTCTTGACCAAAATGCCCTCCTAAGTTTCCAAATTTCTTTTTTTTTCAAGTTTGACTTCTGTCGAAAATTCGGCAAAGCCTCCCCTATAATTCGCTCGATTCCCAAAATCCTTTACCTGTATAAAACATGATTTTTATAATCCCAAACGTTTAGCATGCACAATAATAGACTTCATGCAAACAAATATCACATCAAACTAGCCTCAGGCCTCTTTAAATCAAATAAATCGTTCTACCAACTAAAATTGATCTCAACTTTTAGAACATCAAGAGTATGTTAACAAATTTCAAAATAGCTTAGCAGAGTAACCTTTCAAACACTTGAACTTGCGGCTGCACCTAGTTACTCTAGGTTGCCTACGTACCCTTATGAGAGATTAAGCTACACGTAGTTTTTTCTCTTTTTATTTTGCACTTGTGTTTCTTGCCAATCATTATTTTTCATTGTGATTGCAAATCAATCCAAGTTCTCATGTTAGTGACATGCTTAATAACATTCACAAATTATAAAGTAAAACTTTGCAACTTTCCCAATTCTCAAAACAGTTCATACTCAGAACATAACTATTAAAATAGCCTTAACCACGAAAACCTTACCAACGATTAAAGTAACATATACTCCCCTCTTTCACATGTAAAACAAATTCATTCCTTAAGAGAATAGATATGATTTGTAGAAAATCCTTATAACTTGGAAACCTTAAATTCTTGTCTCGTATAATCAGAAAATAGATGTTAAAACTTCTCCTAAAAAATATCAAGATGAAATCACCAGTTTAGTTTAAACCTCTTAAAACCAAAACACTATCCACCTAGGCATATCCCCATTTGTGATCCATCAATTCCAATAATGTACTGTCGGTTCCATGATTTTCTACTCATTTCCCACATTATACTGTCAATTCCGATAATATTCCATCAATTCCAAGTATCCTATCTGTTACATCCTCGCAGGCCTCAGAAACACAAAGTCAATCCGAGCCGCATTCCTCGCAAGCCTCAGGAACACAAAGTTAACCCGAGCCGTATTCCTCGCAAGACTCAGGGGACCATTAGTCAGCCTGAGCCGCATTCCTCGCAGAACTCGGGGGACATGTAGTCAGCCTGAGAACGCACATCCTCGCACCATATGGTTCAAGCGTCCTTGAAACTCCTGGGGCAATGTCATAAATGACCAATTTGTTTCAAAGGCAACTAGGGGGGTAGGGCGTAACTCCTGAGGTGGGTTTGAAAACTATATTCTGAAACTTATCTTGAAATTCCTCTTATTTCACAAGCCATACTTAAATTCTTTTCTCAACTTTCCAGAAATCAGTTCTCAACTACCTTGAAATTTATACTACATACTATTGAGAACTAGTGTCCATAATTCCGCATTTTCCCATATATATATACAGCGGCGGACCCAGGAATTTTTTAGTGGAGGTGCAAATTTTAAAAGCTAAGAAATCCCAAAAAAAAAAAAAAAAAAAAAAGAAGACTACTAAAAATCTTTATAATTTAAACAATACTAATGTTATTCATAATTAATTGAAAAAAAAATAACATTACAATTAACCTACAATTGTTCCTCGAGTTTGCTATTGATCTTACTAATACATGGAGAGCTAAATAAGCAAAAAAAAATTATTAAAAAAAGAATAAACAAAATCGGCGTTTGCTCAAGAAAATATATATATGCATCTGACTTACTTTGGATTGGCGTACTCAAGAAGGAAAAGAAAAACGTAGGATTCTTGTGATGCATACACACTTTGATGAAATTGGGTGATGTTAAATTGGTCTTTTATAGAGAGAATTGCTAATCCTACTTAATTAAGGAATTCTCAAAACCTAATTGAATAAAGAAAATACCCAATTAAAACCCAAAGAAGCCCTTTGAAAGGCCCTTTGAAAAGCCCAAAAAAAAGCCCGAAAGCCCACAGCCCAAAATCGTCCTTGCTTCTTCACATGCTGAAAGGCGTTTTTTCAAATCCACCTACTTTAGTAAATTCGAATGTTTACAGCGTATAGCCGCTTGGCTAAACTCTTGCTTTTGGTAAATAAAAAA